ATACTTACTAAGAATGTATGTATGCATAGCATTTTTCTTGCAGCTAGGGTTATTACAGAGTGTATTTAACTGGCTGGTTCGCTTCTCTTTCTATTTATAAAGGCTCTCTAATATGCCTGTTCTACTTGTTTAGCTAAATTTTCTGCTGATTGCATATTGGAATGGGTGATCAATAGTTGGGCTAGGAAAGCTAGACCCAGTCAAGTTGTGTATTAGACTATGTGAACTTTAAAATATATCAGAAGATAGCACACTTATTTCATGAAACACTAGAAAAAAGGAGCTATGAAATGTCCGAGATGGCACCCTATGTTAGTGATATAAGGTTGACTCACTAGAAATTGTTCAGACATTCTCTGAGATGTGGTCATTTTAAGAAACTTTATAGATGGGGAAAAATATTGTCTTTTCTTCCATACTTCTCAGGCAAGGATGGCCAGCGTTTTCTGTAAAGGGCCAGATGGTATACATTCTAGGCTTTGTGGACCATATGGTCTCTGTCTCAAGTACTCAACTCTGTCGTAGCAGGAAAGCAACCAAAGACATACCTAAATGAATGGGCATGGCTGTGTTCCAATAAAACTTTATTTACAATAACAGAAGGTGGGCTGGATTTAGTTCCCAGGCTGTAATGAGTCAACTGCACACTGCTGTCTAGTGCATAGATTGAAAAATAGGCTGTAGGGTGCTCTAGTGTGTAGGATGAACAATTAGAATAAAGAGAGAAGGGATGTGGAAGGAAGTACGGAGGAGGGAGTGGGACAAGCAAGGCATGGAATGGAAGCAAAGTAAAACAGTAGCACAGTAGCACATAAGAATGGAGGTTACAGGAAATATTGTAAATAAAGGTCTGTATTTGACGGGAATATCTCTGATAAGAATGTTTATTTTGAAACATTGAAGCAATGATAGACTGGAGAAAATACCATTTCAGGCAGATTAGAAGTGTGATGTGAAGTCCTAATATCAGTTACTTTTCCTAGGCATTCAAGGTTCAGGCATTGTCTACATTTTCCTACATGTGTTCTTAAGTGTATCTAAGTTTTGATCTACTACTAACTTACTACTTCTTCTTGGTATGCTATTGGTAAAAACATAGCTAGTACTGCATTTCATGAGTTTTTTTTTTTAAATGGAAACATTGAGTCCAGAGAGATTTATAGTATGTATGGTAACAGATGCAACTTCACATTTTGAGAGTTGAGCAGTTTTTCTAAAAATGACTAATTTAATTTCATAGATGATATATCTAGCAGAAATAGCTTTTTTTGTGTTATGGTTGGAGAACTGAAAATTAGAAAACAGATTGGTGTCTTGTGAGAAAAGGCTAATCATAGGAATTGTACAACATGGATCTTATGAATCACTTAATTCTGGAACTAGATTGCTATAATAAAATAAATACATATTTGGGAACAATGTTTTGACTTCTTAGAAAGTTTCATTTATTTTTCTTTATATATCTTGTTTCTTATAGTATATCTATTAGAAATATCTGCTTTCTGAATGTAGTAAGAAAAGAAGAAAGTAAACTACTCTTTTTAAACATAAAAATCTTAGAATGGAGTAATAATATAAGTATGTTTTTCTTTATTCTTTGTGAAAATATGAAATTGTACAACTTTTATAGAATGTTATAAAAGTATATACAATTAACAATTGAGATTTATATTTTGAAATTCTGTGAAAAAATTCATTATGTTAAAAAAGAGCTGTTAGTCATTTTGAAGCAGAAAGACATTGTGTGTGTCTGTAAATAAATCAGAGTGAAAAGGCTATAGTAGCTTAATTATAGGATGAATAATGATGTGTTGTAAACAGAATTAAAGACTGTTTTTTGAAATTGTAATTTAAAATCAATTTGAAATTATAATCTGTAGACAGGTGACAATGGTTGTTTTAATCCTAATTCACATTAAAATCTGTATTTTAAAAGGTGAACCTACTTTTTCTTGTAGGGAGAAAATAATTTTACTATTCTAATATTGTTACTTCAAAACTTTTGATGCTAAAAAGAATTTGCTTTAGATTCTCATTTTGGAAAGGAATCATTTGGTATCCAGTGGGTAGTTCCTAAAGAAATCCCACTTATCTCTTTTCTGGTTTTAGTTACTTTGTTTGTTAGCCTGCCTGTTCTATTTTTTTTTCATGAATAAATTTTATGCAATAAGGGGAGAGTCCTCCTAATGTTCTGTGTTGAATCTCTTGCCTGTTTAACCTTGTTCACACCCTGACATTCAAACTCGCCTTCTGCACTCTTTCTGAACAGTCTCTCCCTTTCACCCTTCATTTTTTCCTGTTCCTTGTCATTTTTTCTTCCTGCTCCTTTGCTGTACTGTTATATTTTTAGTTGTCCTAGTGCTACTGTTTTGTATTCTCTCAACATGATGCTTTTCACTTCCTTTACCCACTAAAATAAAAGAATTCCTAGCCAATCCTGTTTCAAGATTTAAACCCTTTTTCTAGAAGTATTTGGAGAATGTTTTAGATGCCTACTCTAAAAGTTTTGCTTTAATTTGAAAGTGGAAAGAAATTCTTAAATTTTAGTAGAAATATTTGCAATATTACATCTATTATGCGAGTTTATTATGGGCCACTGGCACTGTCAACATTCAACAGATAATTTATAATAAAACTATTAACACATGTACATTATTCAAAGAATATTGTAAGTCTGATGCGCATCATTAGGTTTAGCAAAACACCTGCAGCATTTTCAGTTTCTATCTAAAATAAAGAATTATTTAATTTGCCAAATTAAATAATGTACTAACAATATTAATTTCACAACAAATCACAGTTTTAAGTGTCAAATGTCTTAGGTTAATTTTGTTCAGAAAGTTTATTTAGAGACTACAAAATGTGGCTGACTGTTCCTGTATGTTAAGCTTCACAGATGAAGTACAGTACCTGACATTAGTCATGTTAAAGGACCTCCGGTGCTGGACTGTGTGTGGATCATACCTACATTGCTTAGAGCCCCCCCCGCCCCACCCCCCTTTGCCCGTATTAGCAATCTGCTTTTGTACTTTGACATCTAGGATTTCCCCAGTGAATTTTGTCACAGAAAAAAGAGAATCATCAATATCGCAGTTAAACTTGACTTTCAAAGCTAATAGTGTCTCATTTGGGGGCTCAAATTTAATAAATTTTCTTTGATTCTGGGTGAGTTTTTAAACATCAAACAATGAATTGGCCAGGGTGCAGTAAAATATTTAGATCTATTGACTATGGTTCAGAAGGGTAGAAGGCAAAACACCAGTGGTTTGATGTTGATAAATTCTCAGTACCTTAATCCACATTAATGTTTTCTTTTATCTGAGCGCACATTGGTGACAAAAAAAAAAAAAGGCAAGAGAAGGTATCCATACATATAAAATATAAAACCTAAAGCAAATATATTTTTAAAATATGATGTATTCTGTTTCGTTAAGTAAGTTTAATAACATTCTCATACTGACTGAAGATTGGAGAATGCTTGTTACAGATAAATACGCATTCTGAATTGGAACTCCAGTGTGCATATAGTGCTCACACTATTAGAAAAATTGCGTTATTGTGTATATTTTATAGCATAAACTTTGTCATTCACTTACTGACAGGAATTTTCAGATCACCTTGGGAGCATAAGGCTTTTTATACCCATAGATAAGCATGAACAATGAAAGATGTTGTCATATGTTTGCATGTATTTGCTGGTTTAAGGAAACCCTATATAGTATAGTTCATTCATAAAGTAAGAAATAACTGAAACTGTACAAGCTGCCCATGTAGAATAGAGAAATGAAGGACAGGTTTTCTATCATATATTATTGCCAAGTTACATTTGAAGTTGCTCAGGTAAAAGTAGAGATATAAATACATTTATTTGCGCAATTAATGTTATTTTTATAGTTCTCCCCATTTTGACTTTTGATAAAAAGGTTATAAAACTCATTAAAAAACCTCTTTCTATCCTGTGGCCTTAAGCTAGTTGTATAACATTCATTAAGTATACGGGAGCAAAGAGATAAATTTTTAAAACTAATTCGGGTGTAAGGAAAGTTAGAAAATACGCCTGCATATGAAAACTCCTATCATTAAACTACATGATTAAAAATGAGAGCTTACTGATATTAAAAGCTAACTGAACTGTGGAATTCTTAGAGCTTTTTCTAATTTTGGAAACTAAAAATGAAAATATCTGTTTCTGAATGTTTTCTTGTATATAGTATTATATAGGAAGTATTTTCTCATTTTTCCAGAAGGTGGCAGTGTAATATCAATGGCCTGTGATTCCTATACTGGCTAGAGAATTGGTATTTCTCCTGTATGTGTGAAACGTTTGTATTGTTACCTTTCTGAATACTTAACATATCGTACAAATACTACTGATTGTATTCATTATCTTATTTAGAAGTTGCATGACCAAGTTGGTTTATATGTATTTATTTGATAAGACTCGTTTAATAAGAGTAAAAGGGGCAAACAAACATCCTACTAGTATATTTTTAAGTATTCTTGTGTGTTGAGTATATTTGTTTTTATTTCAGAGTACATATTATTGAAGTTATTTTTCAAAGACTAGTACCTAATAATTGTCTTGTCAAATACGTATATCCGTTAGTACCACTTAAATTAAACATGTTATAAGAAAGTGATATAATTAAGAGATTGCTGTTGTTATTAAGTTCGTGGATGTTTTTTCCTTCTTTCCCTTTTTTTTTTCCTGGGTGGAACAGTGAAAAATAATTCAAAACCTCTTGATCAGAAGAGCTCCGGTGACTCTTCTTCCCTCCCTCATTTCAAGCAGGAGGATGCTTTTTCTTCTTAACATTCTCCCCCAGCACTCTGAATTAGAGATTTATTTGCAACGAAAAATCAATTAGTCCTAAATTTATTCATGGATTTCAGGTCCAGCGATCAATGCAAGTCCACTCAGTGGGCTCAAGGGGACCCAGTTCATCCCAGTTAATGTGTCTGAAGGGGAATTACCATTGATGCTGTTTTTTTCCCTTTAGGTCAGAGATCAGATCTCGCTGTCACGGACTGCGGCAAGTAGGAATGACTTCACCCTGCAGCTACCCAAGCTGCACCTGGAGACCTTTGCAATGGAGGGGCTCAAGGGCGGGCCAGAGGTTGTGGCGTGCCAGGTTAGCGTCTAAATAACATTGTTTGCTACTGAGATGTGTAGAAAAATAAATTGCACTAACTGGAGAGAATGAAAGCCTCAAAGTATTGTGAATAACATAAAGGAGATGCAAATATTTTTTTTTTAAATTTTCTTCTATCATGTAACACTATATTTCACAAATAATTGATTTTCTTTAAAGTCTCGATCCAGCCTATGAAATGATCCAGAAAAGTATTTTTTTTAACCAAGGAAAAATATGTCTTTTATAGCTAAGTACAGTATTAAAAGAATACTTTTTCAACAGAGGACAATAAGACACTAGGCTGTTATCTCTTTAAGCTAATCTCAATTTGTAGCTCTTACTGATTTAAAATAAATCACTTTAGATAAAATTATCAGGAGAGATACTTGAAAATTTTCAGTGTTAATTCCAAGGTATATCCAACTTTTTTACATGATAATTTATTTAATTTCAGCCAATCTAGAACCAAACTGTACTTTAAATGTATTTTGCCCTTTAATGTTTAGTTTTAATGAACATTGTAATATATGCAAACTGGGTTATTTCATTTATACAACTCAGAGTATCACATCATCAAACCTCAAGAAATTTAAAAATAAACTTAATGAAAAAAATTATTTTCAAAAACACAGTTTCAGATGCTGCAGGTATCTTTCTATTCTAGGTTACTATTGTGTTATTGTGATCGTGTTTTTCCTTAAAGTTAAAAAATGTTTTTAATTGGACAAAACAGAATTCAGTATTTGCTTTATACTCCTTTCAATGCCCAGTGCCTTTTTTAGAAAAATCTATGAACATTATCTAAACTATAGGGAACCTGGTATTTCAAAAGAGGTAGTCCTTGTTCAACAGCAGTCTAGGTTTTTCAGAGTATTTAAAAGAGAAATACCTCTTAAAACTCTGCTATTTCACATTTGAGGGTTAAAATAAAGTTTTTCATTCTTCAGTTATGACCCTGTGAAATTTTAATTTTGTACAAAATTAATGTCAGTCCAAATGGGGCTATGTTCATTTTTCCTACATATTTCACACCCTAATTTAATTTGTGATTAATACTCAAGTTAGTGCCCTTCAAAGAAAAAATAAATACTAGTTTCTTTCACATATCTAAAATATGTGTAATTATGAAATAAGCATAAAATATTTTTATTTCTAGTTATAGGCTAGAATACACTACCATTATTTAGTATACATTTTAAATTTGATTATCATTATTTATGAATTTACTATAAGCATGAATACAGTATGATTTGAGATTTTTCTAGTGGTTGTAAAATAATCCTTTACTTGGCTATCTTGATTCAGAATCTCACAGGGCTTAATACTTGTCATAATTTAGAAATAAAAACTTCCCCCAAACTCTAGATTTTAATGATTTGGAAAGAGACTGATTCCTAGGAAATGCCATTTTGGTGGGCAAAGCATGATCTCTCTGTGTGTTGACATCTGTGAATAGCAAGTAGGAAATGTATAGACCCGTATTTTAAACTATCTTTTCCACATTCTAGTAAAAGTAGTTATGGATGTTACCATACATCTAAACACTTGGGTATGTTTTGCATTGACATGCTATAATACACATTGTAATTTAGTAATACATATTTTGGTTTAATATTCCATGCAGGGAAGAGCACATGATTTGGGCCATAATAGTGTTTTGGTGATATTTTGGGTACTTTGAGAAGAAAGGCACTGTATTACCTGAAGACCTTAACTATGATAATAATAGCTACCATTTCAGTGAGCACATACTATGCACCAGGTATCGTGCTTAGCACTTTAAATACATGATCTCACTTACTTCTCACAACGAACCTGTCGAATGCTTGGCATTATCTCCATTTTACAATTGGAAAACAAAGCAGCAACAGGCAACTATCCTAAAACCAACAGCAAGTAAATGGCAGGGCGCAGAGCCTTGATTTAAATCTAGGTGTATTTGACTGCAAAGCCTTCACTGATAAAATCTGACACAAAAACATCTAGACACCTCTGTTAAATGGTAAGAATAAAACCTGTTAAATCTATGGTGGAGTTTTTCTTCCATTTACAAAAATATTCATTATGCATCTACGTATGATGTAGGCCATAGTTTATGCTGTACTGTAGACAGATTCACAGATAAAAAATTTTGTTTCCATTTGGCATGCTGATATTACAGAACTCCACTTTTCACCTTTTAGCAATGTATAAATATGTGTATTTATGCTAAGTGTGGCTGCATATTTAAGAATTCAGTATTTGTGTAGCATTGTGTCCAGTGCTGATAAAGTGCACAAAGAATGCACATCCTTTGATTATGATGAAGAGACACTCACTGCGCAGGTTTTGGTGGGGCATGAACCATTTGGCCAACCTACACAGCCATCATTCATAGCAGTCGGCGCTGAAGCTTTCCTAGACAGCGCTGTCTGTCTTTTCTAATGGGGCAAGCTTTATCGTAGGTTTAAATTTGGACAGGAAGACCAATGCTCATTGGCAGGCAGAGAGGATGAGTGGATTCCCTTTTCTCTCTGGACTCAGAAGAACAGGTGACTGTTGCTCTCCTGCAGGAGAAAATTCAGTTCAACTAGTCTCTGAGGTCTGCTAGATTTTAGCCTCAATTTCCTTATCTGCAAAAAAGTGTAATGCTACCTATTATTCGTACTCATAGTAAGAGTGTATGAGGGAACGCAGGTTAGGTAGAGATCACAGTGCCCAGCACAAAGAAAGCAGGCAATGCATGATGGTGGTATTTTTGTGACCATTATGGGACCCCTTGTAACGATGAAGTAGCCAACAGTAGCTTCTTTTAATTACTTCTAAGGGGTGAGTGTATGTGTTTTATTTTGAGGAATGGTTACTTAGGATCTTTTTCTCTACATCTTTCCATTTGGTTCCTGTACTCTTCCTTTTTTCTTCAAAAGCTTTAAATAATTTTGATCAATATCAACTTTACCTGCCTACTTTACCATGTTACTTGATGTTCCAGTGAGGCCATCTTGACACTAACATGCTTTGTCTAAGCTCCTATGGCAAGTTTTGAACAATTATACCTGAGTTTTTATCTCCTAAATAACAGCGTATCAGTCTACTAGAATACTGAAAAGAACAATCAAATAAAAAAAACGCCTAGATTAGACAAGTTAGCTTTACTGAAAAGTCCAGTATAGTGTGAGTGCAGAGGACTTTGTAATAAAAATATTCTCCCATACTTTATAAAGATAATAACCTGTTATTATCTTATACTTTGAATTGTGTTCTTTCAATAATTACGTTATATAATGCGTTTAATATCTGGCAAATATTAACAGGCATGTAATAAATGTTTGTTCGTGTCTCCATCCCCACTCAACAATAAACAACAAAGAATAATATCAATAGCTAACATTTGCTGGGTGCTTATTCTGTACCAGTTACTATGCTAAGCACTTTATATCTACTATCTCATTTAATCTCTGCAACAACCTAATGAATAATAGGTACTCTGCTTTTATCCATTTTACAAACGAAGAAGCTGAAGTTTATTGAGATGAAGTAAATTGCTAAAGGTCACTTATCCAGTGTGTAACTGCTCCATTCATTGTTTTTTGAAATTGGATTATGTTCCTCCAACGCTTCAATTTCAATAGGTTCTTACTGTCTTTGTTTTTTTATTTTTTTAAATTTTTATTGAGTGTGTTTTTTTCAGGACCCACCAGCTCCAAGTCAAGTTGTTCTTCAATCTTAGTTGTGGAGGGCATGGCTTAGCTCCAAGTCCAGTTGCCGTTTTCAATCTAGTTCTGGGGGAATGGGTGGGGCACAGCTAACTGGCCTGTGTGGGAATTGAACTGTCAACTTTGTTGTTCAGAGCACACACTCTAATCATCTGAGCCACCCAGCTGCCCTCATTCATGTTTTTAATCATGCCTTTCTGCCTTTTGTAAACTGTGGCTTAGTGTGTGTGGTGTGTGTGTGTGTGTGTGTTTAAAGATGGCTGAGAGGGAAAAAGAATAAAGGTAGGATCTGTTCTATAGAATACAATTTCATTTGTGAGGAAATTGTGGAGAGAATAGAAGTCCAAAAGAGGTTAACTGGGAAGGCTACTTAGACTGTGTATTTCAGCCTTTTCATCACTAAAGTAAAGATAATAAAAGTATGTAACTCAGTGTTAGTGTGAGGGGCAATTAAGTGGCTTACTACATCTCAAGTGCTTAGAATAGTGACAGGTATTTTGTAAACACTCAATATTTGTTAGCTGTCCACTAACATGAAGGCTTCATGAGGCCAGGAACTTGGTCCCGCCCACAGCTGCGTGGTCAGAGCTCAGCACTGTGCCAGGCACAGAGGGTGCCCTCAGTGAGTGTGGGTGGGTGAAGGAATAGATATCTGATTTCAGACACTTGACAGTTGACTCAGGAAGCTGCTTTGCCTAAGTTGTGCCTGCCCTTGCGAGACTTGGTATCCTTTTTTTTTTTTCCTTGTAGGCCAATTTCGTTTCAAAAGAAAAAGTACCCCCAAACCATTTCATAAAAGTGTTAAAGGCTTAGTGCATAATAACTATACCTTTGGAAATATAGTATATTTTATAAATATATGTTTATAAACACTTCATTAGAAAGGCTTCATTGTAAAACCATTTATTTATGAAGATTTTAAGCAGTAGAATCTTCACCATAAATACAGTAATCCTTTAATCACCCCTAACCCAACATGTCATTATGTAGTCCTTACTTGGTATGGTATTTTGTTATGTGTTATACCCACGACTTTTGGGAAACCATAGTTTTTTACATTTATATGTATTTTCCAGGCATAGAAATGTCTTCCAGCTATTTTGTTGTATTTATAAAATTAAATCATAAAGAGCATCTTGAAGGGGATTTTGTTACAATTTTTTTTTGTGTGTATAGAGGGAAGAAATAAATATCTGTTTCTATTAGGGAATAAAAATTTCTGTTAGGGAATAAAAATATTTTTCACTTGTGTTTTCTGCTACTTAATCCAGCATCCTTCTAATTGCTGTGCAAGGAATTTAT